GCCGCGTCACGGCGTCGCGCGGGGGCGGGGCGAGCCGCGGGACACGCCCCCTCGCGGGGGACACGCCCCCTGCTCGGGCAGCCGCGCCCGGAAATTGGGCTCCAACCGCCCCAAAAAATAGAGAAAACGGGAACCCGAGAGGAAAAACACAACAACAAGTGAACAAAGAAAATGACTCCGCTTGTGCCCATTTATGCCTGACACGTTCCAAAAACTGGGGTTTCGCGCTCCCAAGGAAACTCCTGGAAAGGGGGTTGAACCCCCGTTCCGCGACCCAAGCGCCGCGCCCGGAAATTGGGCTCCAACCGCCCCAAAAAATAGAGAAAACGGGAACCCGAGAGGAAAAACACAACAACAAGTGAACAAAGAAAATGACTCCGCTTGTGCCCATTTATGCCTGACACGTTCCAAAAACTGGGGTTTCGCGCTCCCAAGGAAACTCCTGGAAAGGGGGTTGAACCCCCGTTCCGCGACCCAAGCTCCTCTTCACCTCACTGCCTTTTCCAGCCCGCTCCGCAGCTTATCTGCGGCTCCCAGCAGCCGCTGCCGAGGCGGAAGGGCCACAAGCACCAGAAGGAACAGACATCCACGGTCCTATCCACGGAGGCAGGGCAGCCAGGCACTGAGCTGGTAACACTAGTTGGATGGCCATAAAATAAATCCTTTTAGAGATGGCAAACAAATGGGAATGCCTGCAGATTTCTGGTTAACACCCACATCCCCTCACTAACTCATCTTTCCATGCAGTTATCACAGTATGCTCACACCTACTAGAAAACCGGGTAACTACTGCTGCTGCGTATCAACGATTACCTCCCTGGCCAGCACTACAGGTCCTGAATCGCCAGGTCAGCCAGACCTGCGCCTGGTCTCATCCCGGTCCACGGACACACTTCAGCACGTGCTGAGCTCTCACCAGTCCCAGTGGGATAAACAGGGGTGCTTGCTTTGCTGAACAGGGAACGGATTATACGTATTTAATCACAGGGCAGATTACAAACCGCAGCTTGACCTCCGAAAAGCTGCTAACAGTATTTGTCAGCAGAAAGACTGGAGGAGAGGACCATCCAAGGAGAATAAGCAACCTCTGAAATACTAGAGGTTGCAAAAGTGTGTTTTAAATCCCGTAAGTGACTTATATTTAAGTAAAGATTTGATCAGGCTTGAAAGGTCAAGAGCATCTTTAAGGGACACGGTGGTCAAGCCATAAAAGGGCTATTACTGTTATGGCCAGGTTATCAAGTCTTGTATCAGAGTGTTCTGGGTTCAGGAATTTTCATGGAAACATCTGACAACCTGAGCCCATTTCCACTGCTGATGGCTGGCACTTGTCCCTGCTGCCACAGAAACAGATACAAAATTTTAAATACCAAGTCAAGGGCTGTTGTAGCCTGCACCCCTCGTGTCATCCCTCCAGGGCCAGCAATCAGGGGATTAAAAACAACCACTCAGGATGAAAGCAACCAGAAGGAAAACTTGCCCTTTGCAGCTTTCACAGGGGATGCTTTTTCAAAAGGAACACAAACACTGATTGCTGACAGAGCTCTAATGATCCTTGAAAGCACATAGACACTAATGACACCTGATGAGGTCCAACTCATTTGCTCTCCTGCCTTTATTATGAGCACCATTTGCATGCACCCTGCAGCACACCCCAGGTTCCTGAACCATCCTAAGAAGCCAATGCAGGACAGATAACTTCATATCATATATCCTTGAATCAATAACAACCTCTCCATTTCACTGGAAAAACAGCTCCACTGATACCAGAATTGGCCAAGAAGCATTTTTTAAGACATCAACTGTTACAAACTTTTCTTATTATGCCACACAGCTTGGAGTAAGGATAAGGGATAAAGGAAACTTATTTCCTCTCAGATTTCTCAGCAGAACAAATGGTTCCTTTACACGCAAGAGACTGATTTCAAGGGAGATCAAATTTCAGATTTCCAAGCCAGTGCTCCACCAGCTTCAGGCGCGAGCAGCAGGAGACACCAAGACTACAGAAAGATGATGCTTCCTTGAAGCAACTTGCAGGATTCCTACTTGAGTAAGCATGCAGAAAGGGCTCCCGTTGATACTCAAGAGTATTCACCAAGATCACCAACACTGAGTCTCTAAAGCTCTAACTCTGTCCCTGCAGATCAAAACTCCCCACGGCCTCCAAGGTTTCTAATAAGAGCCCAAAAGGAGCCTGGTTGCATTAACACCTTGAGGGCCCCTGGCACAACTCAAACGATAACTGAAAACCACGCACTACAGACAGCATTCACTGCATTTAGAGCAAGGTCATGTTTTCTGCACTGTGTAATACATTACTAAAAGAAAATATTCGACTTGACAAGCCCGGTTAGCAATTTACCATATGAGGCCATTTCCCCACTCCCTACCTCTGAAAAGAGGAAGCCTCATCCCAAAGGAAAGCTGTCTGAGACTTAGTAACCACCCCAACCTCGCCTGAACTTACTGCTAACTTCTTAGCTGGATAACCAGCACTTTGGAAATTTGTGCCTGGATAATACTGCAGACCTGAAGAAGAAAAAAAAAAAAAAAAAAAACACGTATCGGGTGACATATTTTTTCCTTTTGTAACCATTAGTGTGGGGGGGGAGGGAAAAAGGGAGCGTAGAAAAAGAAAAATAGCTTTTGAGATTAAGAGACTGGTTAAAGACTTTAAAGTCTTCATAAAAACAGCAGACAAGGCAAAAAAAAATCTCAAGTTAAAGCCACATAGAAGAACGTGACTGAAAAACTCTGATTTTGACTCAACTTTTAAATTTAAAAATAAAGAATAAAAAGACTTACCCTTCACTGACTGTATTTCAGATTATGATTTTAATGCTTAAAAGTTGGCAATATTAGTGCAATTTTTTGATACTTTCCAGAAAGGCCTAAAGGGCTCTAGGAGCAGAGACCTAAATTGACACATACCTATGCTAAGACTTTTGCAGCATTTTGCTAGTAGAGCATGAGTCAGGATCTGCCATGACCCTGGAAAGATGCCCACAGAATCCAAGCAGCACTGAAAAAACAAAACCACTACAACAGCAACCAAGTCTTTGAAGGCTGCGTGTTTCCTGAAAGTTATAAAAGAATAAAAAGACTCACAAATCTGTTAAGATGGACCACTGCACCCTAGAGGTGCTAAAGCAAGTACCAATTCCCTCTGTGTATTGCAACTCACATACACCAATGCGACCAATTCTATGTTCCATAACATCTTACCACAAATTCAAGCTGCTCCCATTCCACTTGTGGAAATAGGTGAGATTGAAACACCCTCTGGATATTCTGCAAAAGGCACTCAAACTAGAAACAGAAGTGATACAAAGTATGCACAAGGGAACAACAAGAACCCAGAAATACAGGAATGAATTCTACAGATAAGCAGCATGCTCCATCTCAAGGCAGTACACACACCATCTATGCAGCTTGTTATGAGAACCTGGTACATGGAGTGCTATATGTCCCAAAATTCAAGTTTTCTAGCCTCTCAAAAGTTTTTTTTTTAATTTTTTATTTTTAACCAGCACAAATTGGACCCACTATCATGCTATTCTAATCATGGTTTCTCGGTTCTAGCCTGCCAATCAAAATGGTACATGCCAGAGCATAAACATTAACTAGGCAGCGGTTTAACAAATGGCTTTACCCAAGTATAGACGAGTCTGTACTTTGCCACATGTCATACACTTGTTAAACTCAGGGGATATCAGATAATGAATTATTCACTTGTGTGTTTAAAGTTCAAGAAACATAGGAAAATTTTTTTATGCTTCCAAATAATTGTTACTGGCTTTGCTGGGGTGGGGGAGGAGGAGAGAGTTGTTTCCTACTTTTTTTGCAACCTTAAAAAGGGATCCATGTCATGCTAAGTGTCAGCTTTCAGTGGTGTCACCAATTAAAAAAAGCAGCTATTGCATCATAATTAAGTGTTGGACCTTTGGGTTGTGTCTTTTGCCCATTTCACCCCCATAATTAGTACCATTAAGTTTTAAATGAAGTTTTCTGCAAGACCAATCTAATGTAAACTTTGAAAAGCTGCATGGGCACTTCATAGCTTTATAACATATAACTTTCTAAAATGAATCAAGTCTTCCACTTAACCCCTCTTTAAGGTTATTTCCCGCTGAGAGTGACTTAACTGAGAATCAGATAGTTAAGTACTCCATCATGCAAGAGTTTGTTCAAGAAATATGTTTCTGGATGCATTTTAGAATGCAAGTAGATCATCATAGAATCATAGAATTCAATGCAAGTAGATCATCAAATTTACAAAAGCCACTACACTTAGCAAGGGCCTAAGATACCACTACTAAACTAAGCCTTGAGAACTCCATTATGTTCTTGTAATTAAAATTCTAGACTGAAGCTACTAAGGATTCTCAAATGTGCTCAATTTTGTACTAGTCATAAGAATTCTAGTACTTAATCAAGCAGCTTACTGTATTCTATTTTCAGCCTGTGGTTGTGGCTATAAAATCACAGTGAGCAAAAGGAAAAAAGCTTCCCGCAGCCATCCCACAAACTAATCCTACAACTGGTTTTCAGCTCCAGCTGCCAAATTCCTGTTGACACATAAGGATCTGTTTGCAAACCATAAGCAGCAGCGATTTATCTGGTTAATTCCTGCTCTGGGAGCAAGTCTGCACAGAGCATAAGGTTTGCTTGCCCTTATTAGCTGCTCAGTAGTCCAAGCTGAGCCACTGAATGCTGATGGGTACAAAGCCAAGGTTAATGTATTTTACCAACACCAAGTGAACCCTGGTTTGTACTAGGAAGCTGGATATGGCACCTCTTAGTCACTGGCCTATATGACAGAAATGCCAATATACTCATTAAAATTGTGCCAAGGCATGGTCTGCTCTTACTGATTTCACACCTTGTTTCCACTGATGGACATAGTAAGATATTGTGCCCTGTTAAAAGAAAATTCAGTATTGAAAGTGTAACTTACCACAACTGCTGCTATATTAACATTTTTATTGGGGAAAACTGCAAAGACTGAAGCACATCCCCCAGCACAACACTGAGCATGCACTCTGTAGTTGTGCGAGTGAAGTCATGCACAGAGATTACGCTGCAGGAAGGAGTTACACAAACAAGCTGTGCTAATGTGTCCAGAGAAGAGACTGCAACTCCTGTTTAAATTAGTTGCCAAGCAGCCCATGCTAGGTGCCTTGGACAAGTGTCCCCGTTCCTGCCTGGCACCCTTAGTTGTCACAGTAAGAAAGCTGGTGCTACTAGAGGTATTGTATTACTACTGATGAGTCCCCACGCCCAAGATATTAAGACTAGAATCACACAGTGGATACTGCAGTTTTACATTTATAGTTGGACTTTTATAATATTCATGATTAGCACAAGATTCATAACCATAAATTATACATTGTTATCTAAGTACATAAAATGTTAATGATACATGTATTGAAGAGTGGCACAAAGTAATAGTACATCCCTGTTGGCATTCTCAAGGAGGTGGGCGGTGGACGCGCTATTGATACTACTGCAGCGTAGCAGCGTGCAGTGACTCAGCCTTGCTAGGTCAGGTCAGATGGTGCTGACTGCCCACCAGAAAGGGTCAGAACATGGTGTGGCAGAAAGCCATTGCCAGAATCAGTTAAAGGTGCAAATAAAAAGTCCGGATTATGGCCCTTCCTACTGCTTCAGTATTTTAGCAAGTTCCCCCTCCCCAACCCTGACACTGTGCTCTTGCATCTCTAGTATTTGGCAGCCCACTCCAGTGTTCCAATGTTCTCCACTCCATTGCACACTCCAATGTTCTCTTGCCACACAGCTGAGATATCCTTTAGTACCATTTAATGTCAACAAGTAACATGCTCTCCTCTTGTTAAACAAAAAGGATCTGGGAAATGTTTGCTCTCTGGTATGAGATTTATTTTCTTTAATCTCAGATCTACTCCAGAAAATATAGAACAGACTCCACCTGAACCCCAACAGCATCGTCCAGAAAAGGAAACTTTCCCAATATGCCTCTAAATATCCAGAGCACAAATATTAGAAAGCCCATTTTCTTTTGCACATACGACTGCAAACAAAATGGGGTTGTCAGATGTACACAAGCTTTCAACAATTCACCGTTAAGGAGATGCTTCACTGAATTGTCGATTTCTCTGCTACTTCTGTAGCTTCAGCTAAAGCTTTAACAACTTGGTGCCAGGCATTTTTTTTTTCCCAGCTGCTTTCAACAGGCTTTGCAAAAGAAAAAAAAGGAGGGGAAAAAAAAAAAAAAACACCACACTCTTCCCCCTGGCCTCAAGCCACTATTGCTGTATGAGTTAGTGAAATAGTGCCTTAACTTCAGACAAGAGTCTCACAATGTCATTAACAAAAGCTGCCTTTCAGAGGTTGAAATGTAACTGGACAATAATCAATAAATAACAGTAACAGGCATCCGTTGAAGTCTCCTCACTGAGCAGGGCAGCAAGTGTTCAGCCAACAGAGGGTCATCTGTGCCTTAGAACCATTGTACACTTCTTGGAGAAGTTAAAAAGGGACGGGAAGGAAGAGAACAGAGACAGCAAAGGTCTGTCAGAGAGCTAGTTACATATTGAAACCATAAACAGGCGGCTGGGTGAATCCTGGTGCTGTGTATCCATAGGGGAAGTTTGGCTGGGGAGGTACCGCGCTGGGGCCTGCTGTCAACATCAGCTGCTGACCTAGAAAAGCATGGGAAAGAGAAAGTTAGTTTAAGAACTCAGGCTTTCTTAACGCTAGCAGTACTATGGGACAGGATGAGCCTCTAGCTAAAACCAGCTACTGTGCAAGCATAGAACTAGCACATTACACTGTAATCTGACATGCACCACATGAAGTGGGCACCAAGGCCATCTGCTCTTGCCACCTGCAAACTAAGAAAGCAAGGCAGATTTCAGATGAGTAACCAACTCATTCTGAGGACATGATTAATGTGGCTTGTTTTGAAGAGACCATATTGAAAACCAAACAAACTGATATGTTTATATCATGCATAGTCAAAACTGACAAGTAAGGCAATTCAAGCTATTAGTCAAGTAAACACAAAAGTCTTGAACATAACTTTTGAAAGATTGGTCTTCATTGCTAGGAGCACACATGCCTCATGCATATGTTAAATTCAGGTTAACATTTACATTAGACAGTGAACCAGTCACATCCTTCCCTTACCAGCCACTTCTAGGTGCTTGTTAGCAGAATGTCTCTTCAGAAGGGCTTCTAAAATAGCAGTACACTTGAGGACAGCCATGTTTTTGGCTGCGCATGTCTTAAAATGGATGAGCTAGAAAGCCAGTCTGCTTTTCTACTTGGAAGAGCAGAAAGCAGACACATTCCTCTTAGAAAAAAACACCAGGAGGAATTAGGACACTCTTTTAGTTATTTCTGAGGTTGTGCGCATGGTGATGCCCCCTCTCCTGTTACCATACTGAAAGCCTATTCCTAAACTAGAATTCTGAGCTATGCAAGAGGGGCACTATTTCAAAGAGTGTAAGTACTGCAAGAGGGAGATGTCACTTCAGTAACTTGTACATCTACAGACACAACCATCTTAGTAGCTAGTAGAAACCAGCTTGCTTTGACTGGAGGCAGTCATTTAAGTTAGCTCCATGAAGAGAGACCAAAGTGACAACAGCTAATCAAGTAAAACCAAATCTTTCACCTACCAAATACTATTGGAGTGGGTTCAGCTACTTGTTCCTCTTCTTTTCTTAGGCTTTCAGAAGCATCAAGTTTATCCACCTACATTGAAGTGAATAGGAAACGTATGAAGGCTGTGCCTTGAAACTGCACCATCACTTGAAAACTTTTCATGCCAGGTACCTGAGCTATCAGGTGTTCCCTTAGTTAGGGTAGGTTGAGGACCACCAAAGCCTGCGTTCTGCTATGCATAAACTGCCCACCCAATTGCTTAAGAGCAGGAACAAACAGCAGCTGTCAAACATAGCTAGGAGAGCATGAATTTCAAGCACAGTACTTCTTAGGACTGGTACCCAAGCTGCTGGTTCACTTACAGCTGTTAACCTAACAGCCCTCCTGGAATAACTGGATTAGACTGTCCTCTTTACTGCCCCTACAGTATTAAAGAGAAATAGGGAACAGAAGAGCTTCTCCTCCCTCTGCCGGAGCGGTAGCGAGCGCACAACGAGCGGATGCCCCGAGGAAGGGCAGGAGCAGCTACCTAGCACAGGGCACATCGCTGACCTGCTGCCTACTAAACCCCAGTATTCAGGATTGCCAGGGGGTGGCAGCGCACGCTGTGCCCAGGCCCTTCTGGGACAGGGGCTATTCTGTGCTTGAACACCTGCGGTCTGTGCATAAGAGAAAGATGAGTGAGTTCCACAAGCAGCACACACTGTTGACGAAGCCTATTCTTTTGTGCCTTTGAAGTTAGTTACGTGATCAAGTTTTAGACGTACCACATTTATAAAAACCCATACACTAATTTCATGTTTTGTAGTTAATTTCGTAAACTAAATTAGTTTTGATGTAAACCACTTTCACCATGCAGATTTTTCTTCTGGCAAGTTATCTGGTATTTAGTACATGTGATAACCTGTAAATCCAACCAGCAGTTTCAAAAACATCATCTTAGACTTCGGTCTCATCTCCTCAGTGAAATAAATTTATCTTCCTCTTAAGATCCATGCAAGTATTTTCATCACACTAAGAGGCAAGCCTTCTACAGAAGCTTTGCTAATTTCCAAACAGATTTGCTATCCCTGCAAGATTGCTTCAATAATTTGCAGCATAATATTAGTGTTTTTTTTTTTTTTTTCCCCCCTGAGCATAAATTCAGTGTTAGGTGGCAATCACTTTTGTTTACTTATGAACTGCATCCTCCCTGCCCCAAGTATCTGCAGTACAGTCATCAGGAGCCTAAATGGTCCCATCTTTCTCAATCACTGGCTTCTGTTTACTATTAAGGACAGCAGAGTCTGGTTGGATTTTCAAGTTGTTTGTGAATAGTTACCCTTTTAGCATTAGAAAGTGAACAGAAAATGAGTTAGAGCTAAGTTATATTGCTCTGCTGGCAGAAGCTACAGCTAGATTCCTGTAACAGAATCCTAGGATACTGAGGAACACAAATGAACACAGAGTTTCAAAGCAGAGTGTCACCTTATAGAACAGCCCATCAACCTGCAAGAAAATTCAGAGGGGAATACTTAACATGACTGATTACAGGCAAGATGAAGCAGTCACTTCTAGATCAGTGACTTCAAGAAAGTTCTTACTGCAATATGCTAGGTAGATCTAAAATCTTTTGAGGAAAGATCTGAAGAGTTTTAGATCTTTCGGTATTTGAGACAAGCACTTCAGGAGTCCACACGAGAACCTCTCCCAGAATTTAGACTAGCTGAAAGTACTGTACAGCCAGACTACGTCTCTGAAGTTATTTTCCACAGAATCCTTACTTCCAACAAATAGTTCCTATGGCTGACGTAGAAATAGTGTCTAGTATTAGCTACTTAACAGCTATATTCTCTAAAAGAGTAGAGAGTACTTCCAATACTTAAGAAGCAACAAAGACAGTCCTTGTTTTAAGTATTCAGCTTCTATTATGGAGTGAATCTAAAAAGAATACAGATGCCTATAACCCTTACTAAAGGCTAAAGTAGAACTATTCTCCCTGCATGTCCCAAGGCATCTATTTGAAGTTTAATTAGTGAATTTCAAGCGATTAAAGGTGATTAAAATCGCAAAACTCCAAGGAAGACTTTGGAGGGAAAAAGAAAAAAAGGTGTACTTCAAATAAACGAGAAGAGCTTTACCTGGTTTACATAATGCTAGTAATCTATCAGACTGAAAGTCTTAGCTTCTGAACCTGTGCAATACTCACTTTGGTAAGGTACTCTCTCATCACTTGGATGAAATAAGGCATTGCAAAGTCCATGATGTTATGCCTCCATGCCAACTCGAGGACTACGTCTGGGTGCAGCAAGTCATAACATGTGAAGAGGCAGGCTGCAAAGCACTCCTGCTTGCCTTCTTCCAGGAACCACTGAAGCAGCTTCTCAGCTAGTTCTGCATCTTTGGATTCTGCAGCATACTGCATGGCATCCTAGAGAAGGAGACCACAGTTAAGTCTGACCCTTGCCTGTCTCCTCCTTGCTCTATATCACGGGCTTTTAATTGCACTGGATTTCACTTCACTGATGGTCCAGCACTTCACTGGATTTCATCCAAGTTTTAAGGAAACTTATGCTTTGTAGCTCAGACACTTCTAGTAAGCCTCCCTACCCCTCTTTTTTGAAAGGGAAAAAGAGAGGAACAAAAAAGTACACACACACACGCAAAGGGAGAAAGCTTTAACTCACCTTATACAGACGATCCTTCTTGCACAGCTCCACACTCTGCTTCCAGCGGTTATTCCCCTTATACAAGTATGCTGCAATACGCCTAAACTCAATCAGTTCATGTTTTTCCAGGCGCTGAGCCAACGTTATGTTATCAAAGTTGTCATAGGCATCAATGGAAGCTCTCAAACCCTATTTTAAAAAGGATTGTTAAACATGTGTGAGGATGGTAGTAGGTGAGAACTACAGCAGAGAAGCATCCAAGCACGGTGGTACAGAAGAGTTTAGGTTCTGCTTGCTCGATGTTATAGCTATATGCTGTTTGACCTGCATATTTGGTGCATCAATCTGAAAGACTTTTAACACAAAAAAATGCTTCCTGGTCACACTGATCTCACTTGTCTTAACAGAAAAGCTAATTCTTTAGAAGCCAGATAGGACAGCTTCCAAACAGAAGTCAATGAGATAATACAGAATAACTGGACTGAACGCAGATAAGGCTTTACTAGAAGTAGCTGATTAACCTGTAATTAAGAAGTTTTCAGTGTGAGATTAAGTATAGCAATTCAAACACCTGATACTCTTGAAGCATTTATAACTCTTGTAACAAGCAATGGTAAGTGCTTGCTGTCAGTACCCTTCAGTAATCTATTCTACATGTCCAAAAGTAGAACAGCACAACTGGCCTAGGATACTCTTTCGGCATCTCCAACATCAAAAGCCACCTGACAGAGGTCAAACCCTTTCTCCAGCCAGAGAATTAAATGTATTAATCTGCATGAGAGGATTCTTGTTCATTGACACTGCCTGCCCCAAACCCACCTTTGAGAAAAAATTGACTGTCCTGGTGTGATCCAGCCGTGGAGATAATACAAGCAGAAGATCATTGATCAGCAAAGGTTTGTAGTCCAAGTAGAACTGCAAGGCTTTGTAGTACAGCTCCACGTTGGCCACCTGTATGGTTAGACATTTACTTAGTACTTCAAATACAGACAAGTCTAAGGCGCTTAGATTGGATCACAACTCACACCACAATTTAACCTGATTCGTAAATAAAAGTTCAAGCTTTAGTCTAAAGGACAAAAGTGTAACACACACATTTCTCACATGGAATTCTTGTTCAGCATTAAGACTGCTCCTAAAAACCAATTTAAATCCATCCACTTAAGAGATTCTAGCATAGGAAGACCACTAGAATCAGAGGTAACTTGACCATTTGTTGAACTCCTAAAGCCAGCAGAACTTGTAGTTTTGCACTTCGAGTCATCTTGTAGCCCATAAGATCAGTAAGATTCCAAAATGTGAACATATTCCTATCAAAACTATTCATCAAATCACTACTCTCCAAATCACCATTCTCCATCGTGTACGTGGGACAGACTAGGCCAATTCTTCCATTGAAATAATCAGAAGCATTTCCAAAGATCTTTCAAGAGCTGTTACAGCTTGGTATTAAGACAGCAACGAGCTCAAAAGGTATTAGGGAGGTTATGTCTCTTGATTGTGACCTATGATCAGGCCCTAAAAATATTTTGTGCCAGCTTCTGCCACTCTGTTGAGTTTCACACAACAGAAAACAAACAGTCCAAGCTCAGATTAATTCTTGTGTTAAAACAGAACTTGTCCTTAATTTTAGCAGAAAAACAGGCAGTAGTTTAAGCAAACTCATTTTCTAAAAGGGAGTTCTGCTGTGCATTTTGGCCTTTGTTTTCTGCCTTTAAGGACAAAGACACAACACACACCACAGCTTTCTGCGGCTGGTTCAGAGATTAAAACAGAACTTGTCCACAGGCTTAATTTTAGCAGGAAGACAGGCAGTAGTTTAAGCAAACTCATTTGTTAAAACAGAACTTGTCCTTAATTTTAGCAGAAAAACAGGCAGTAGTTTAAGCAAACTCATTTTCTAAAAGGGAGTTCTGCTGTGCATTTTGGCCTTTGTTTTCTGCCTTTAAGGACAAAGACACAACACACCACAGCTTTCTGCGGCTGGTTCAGAGCACCTTAACCAGACACTTACCTTGGCAATTATGTCTTTAAACTGCCCTTCTTTCCAAGCATCAGTGGGATGATTCATCATTGTAATTATTGCATTGTCATATTCCTCATATTTGTCATACAGAAATACAAGTTCTGCCCACAGATGAGCCTGTTCTGCAGCTCTGAGCACCTGATAAGACAAGGGATCAGTCAGCTTTGTTCACTGAGAGTTTCCCTACTGCACTTGCAGTCTAACTATCTTGCTGCATACCTTTGGAATATTAACTCTAGACCAGAAGAGTTCCAGATGTTCCCTCATTTTTTGAGGCTTGAATTTGGAGTACAAGATGGCCAGTTCAGTAAACATTCCCATGTGAGCACGTTCGAGACCCAAAGCGGCCTCTAAAAGGGCAATCAGTTCTTCAAAGTAGCCACGATCCTGGATGTTAGGAAGAAAAGGATTAATTTAAGTCACAACCAACTTGCCCTAAAAGCATTCTGAAGAATATATTCATTTATTTGAATAGAAAATATTGTTGAACTTAATAGCTTAATCTTTTAAGACTCTTGATTCCAATAAAATAATAGAATAGTAAAACAAGAGAAAGTAAATGCTATCCCACTTCCCTTTACTACAGAAAACATTTGTATACAACTAGTAAGAAGTGGAGATTGAAAAATGAATCCAATTCATTTCGGTAGTCCTCCAGGATCAGCCTTACAGGCATCTGGTTTCAGCTATGACCGATTAGTTTTAGACAGCACACTTGTATCCTCTAAAAAATTGTTCTGGGACATTGACAATGATCTTACCTGATAATAACTAATCAGCTCTTCAAGTTCATCTGCATGGATTACTATGTGCAAACCACAGATCTGTGCCAAGCGGAACTCCTTTCCATCCACACAGGCAAAACAGACCTACAACGAGAGTTGGCAATAAGTCAGTTCACAGAAGAACACTGCAATGCTTAGTCTGTTGCCTTATATTAAAGGAAGGGAAGCTCATTAGTAAAACTTCACCAAATTCAAGGATTACATACAGTTCCAAACAGGCATTACTATAAAGCTTGTTCTAGAATCAAAACCTCTGTTATTTGTTTTACACTGTTCTGAAATAAAGCTTTAAAAAACAGTTTATAGAACAAACATGTTCTACAGTCAGAAACAGCTAGCAAGCTACTATCTGGTCTCAATTCCCACATTACTTAGCTTGCTAGCTGTTTCTGGCTATCTGGTCTCAATTCCCACATTACTTACAGAGCTCGCTCAGAATATCAGAGTGTATTGCTCAAAAGCAATATACTCTAAAGGCACACCAGAGCACATTCCGCAGAACATTAAATATGAGTTTAGGTTACCTCCTTCCATGTCCTTGTGCTGTTGGCTTTGCGGCCACTGTCCACCGCAGCCTGGTACTCTCCAAGGTGCACCAACGTAGATGCCAGGCGAGCGAAGTTAGATACATTGTTATAGAGCAGCTTTGCAGCTTCATACATCCCTTCTTCATAACAGCGATCACCAACCTGGATTAGGAACCCGAAGAAAGAAAAGAAAAAATTAAAGAAAAAAAAAAAAAAAAAGCAAGAATCAAGAATCAGCCAGCCTTTAGGAAGCTACTTATGTGCAGAAAAGTGTGATCGAGACGTACCTGCTGTATGTGGGCATTATTAGGGCCACTAATAAACTCTTCCAGTTCTGAGAGACGATTGGTTTTTGCCAAAGCAAAAATAAGTTCAGTCTCTACATAAGACTCTCTAGCCTTCTTCCTGGCCATCTGTAAGAATTTGACTAGGTCCTCCCAGTTATCTAAAAGAAAGAAGAAATATTTAAGATATTCTATTTAGCCATTCTGCACTGGCTTATAAAGAGCCTTAGAAAGGGCACCTTAGAAAGAGCTTTGACCAGTTCACTCAAAAATTTCCTCCTTCATGGTACTAAACCCATGCTCACTTGAACTAAGAAGCTCTTTACTTAACAACAGTCACCGTCATGGGAAGTTTAGGTTTGTTTTTCCACCTGCTCAAGGTAGATTCAATAACCCAGCTCAAGTCCAAGCAATTTAAGCTTGAGAATGTTTGGTCTTACCATTTTTATTAGCTGCTTGAACAACCTCCATGTAGGCAGATGGATCATCCGCCTTTATATAGGAGTCAATGGCTTCTTTCACCAAGTCCTTCTGAAGCTGTGCTCTAGCTAACTGGCTCCACACTGCCGGTTCATTGCATCTCTCTGCAAATTCATAGGCACGGTCCAAATTGCCAATGTGTTCAATCAGCACCTGTTTTAAATGGGAAGTTGCAAGTTAAAAATAAAAGTTATAATACTGCCTGAACTCTACCTTTGAGAGCGCATGGTGTTACTATACTAGAAACATCAAGGTAACTGCTTTTAGAAAAGTCCTTTCATCCCATGCAACTGTCAGAACAAAACTTTTATCACTACAGCCTCTCCCCTGTCTCGCAGGGCAGCTCAATATGCTGGCCTCAAGACACCAGGCTTGTGCTTACTCCTCCTGGCTCCTTCAGTAATCAGTCTCCAAGGTAGTCACTCTGAACCCCACTCAGTGCACATGCATCAAGGTGTTTCGACGCACACTGAAATCTTTTGTTGCCTTTAAGCAGCTGGTCTCTATTTTGACTCTATATTGCTAGTCTTACATGTACATCCATTTCTCCCAACTTGATACCACTCAGGAACTGTTCTCTTAACTCTCTCTCAAGTAGCAGTTACTCCTGAAGAATCAGTGCAACAGCACACTTGCTCCCATTCTCTTTACTACTAGCATTCTACACCTTCACGCACAACTATACCTCACCTGGATGGCAGAAGTATTAACATCAAATTTTCTGAAAATGGCAAAGGCTTCTTCATAGAGCTCGTTGCTGATGGCAATATTCGCAATATCTGGGGCATCATAGTTATCGAGTCGATTGATGTATTCCATGACACGAGTGCGGTCAGCCTTGATGGCAGTCAGGATCAGCAAGTTCTGGAGATTCCTTTGATGAACAAGACACATTTATAAGCAGGTATAACTATGCCCTACTTAATGACATATATTGTACTTACAGCAAGAGCTGTATGCACCTGCTTTTTTTTTTTTTTTTTGGGGGGCTAACAGAGACCTCTCAAACCCAACTTGCTGAGTGCTGCTACTTACCCTCAGAAAGGAAATGGCTTGTCAGTACTAGTATTCCTTCCTTTCAAAAGGTCACTGTAAACTGAACAGCGTGAACCACTTCTGCTCTTAGAAGCACAGAGCTCCTCAACTCTTTTTCATCTGACCACACATAGCTACTTTTTATGGGGCCCAGGTCACAGAACCAACAGGCACAAGATGATCTTGGGCCACATGATGATCTAAACAGACACTGAATAACTTTGCGGGCACAGCTTTCCTCTTACCTGTGTTCACTGAATACAGAATTGTCCAAGACAATCTTTTCCAATAACTCAATCAATTCATTAGGCAGGTCAGCAGTCATGAAAGCCTTCACAGTGACAGAAACCTCTTCTGGGTCCTGTGTCTCTGATAAAGCTGTTTGGACAACCTAGCATTCAGGCAGAATGAAGTGTTAGCCCCAAATATGACAGTTGCTGACCCATTTTGGCAAGCTATCGATTAAGGCTTCAAAACTTCAAAAGCATAAGCTCTTAAAAGGATTTTTATAATGCAAAAGCATTCATAGTCAGACAGGAAGAACTATTTCTGTGCTGACTATAGTTATTAGACTCGTGCCCTAATCTACCTAAGGTCCATTCAGGGACAGAGCTAGAATACCCTACTGACAACTACGGCCACAAAATTCAGAGCCACTTGCCACCCAAGCTCTTAGGGCCTCAAGGGACCACAGGGGCAAGACAGGTCTTTAATGCTCCAGGATATTCCTCATATGGGATCGAGCCTGGTCTTTAGCCTTAGCACTGTACCTGGTCAATAAGCTGCCGCCTGAATGGATTGTTTTCCTCCAAAACATTTGCCCAGAGCTCAGGATCCTTCCTGCGCACCAGATAGCGAGCTTCACTCTTAAACAGCGAGTTCTCATTGCAAACCTGAAGGAGAAGAGAGTTATGAACACCAGAATTAAATATTAAGGAATCACAAGACAGGTTTAGCTAACTATGTATCAGTCTAGCAGACTGACTAAAACTAGTTGCTGACCATTGCTAAATGCCACAGACAAGTTCTTACCCAACCTCTGATCTGGAAGGCTCATGGAGAAGGTCTCCAGCAGAGTTTCTATAGCTTCTCTTGATTTTGCCCGAGACAAATACTGTGACAGTAGCTTCACAGTAACTATTTGCTTCTGTTTGAAGTGAAGACCTGCAGAAGCCTGAAGAACTTAAGTTTTAAACCTAGAAAGGGAGCCACTTGCTTGGGAAGTGTTAAGTAGTAACTTTAAGGAATGGTGTTGGAGTTTACAGCTGGGAACAAGTTACATATCTCATGTCATTAGCTTTGTAGTGAGGTGTTCAGAGTAGCAGGTGGCTGCACTTCCCCTGTTGAAATATTAAGCTGAGGGGTGAAGATTAAGTGGGGGATCTCCTATCGGAGGATAACAAGGAAGAGTTATGAGTTATGATCCTATTAGTGGTACTGACTTCAAATCACCAAACAAAAAAAGTAGAATTTTGAAGGCCTATTCCGTTTTCCGCTAACAGGTCATGTTCAGTTAGTATCAGAACTAGCTGTTCAATCTCAAGTACTTTGCTATAAACAGATTATTAGAAGCTCAGTAGTCTCTACAACTTTGCTTTATTATTACTACATCTGTTAGTTATCAAGTTGTAGTCTTAAGCCCTTTTCTAGGGGGAAAACTGTATCTTAAGAATAATTTTTACACGAGGAAGATCTTTCATAAACAGAAATATTTCTTCATGGCATCTGATCAAGGAAGAAACTGGTGCTATTGTGTTTTAGATGGTCAACCAGAACGCTAAATCCTGTCCTAGCAAAATCTCCTAGTGAAACCACATTTCAGAGGCATGTTTGCAAACTGAAATAAGAAACAGGCTGAACTTAGCCAGCTATAGATTAACTTCACAAATAGTTCCTTCAGTCTGGAGCCACTTTTAGTGACAAGTCTAGATTATGCCACATGGTAATACCCATAAGGAGACATTGACAGGAAACGGCATTTACTGCACAGCTGATATTCTTTGCATATACTAGTAGAGAAGTACAGGAAGGAGGCAGAATGTTTTCTTCCACAGCAGCCACAGGCACTGCAACCTGACATTGAACTCTGGCAGCCAGTTTGAAACTAGGGTATGTTTGGAGAACCCTGCAAATCTTCCAAGGGAGGTTCTAGGAATCAACAAGCTTAAGATAGAAGAACGCTATGTGAACAAGGCTGTGCAGTTTGCCTGTCAACATCTATTTATCTCACTTCTAATCAAGTATTAGAGCAACTCTAAGGTCAACTACAATGCAGGAAAATTTCACCTCTCAACCAGAAGTTTTAGGGAAGCTTCTTTTTCTATTGCGGCGTCAGAGCAGATTATCATCTGTCCCTTCTACTCTGAAAAATATTCAGTGTTTGCCAAAAAGCCTAAGCTAATTAACAAGTTAGCACATTAATCAGTTTGGCCTAGTGCTCCTGGTCTAACTGAGCAGAGCTGGCAAATTAAAGAAATGAAATGAGTAGTAGCTGTAGTAGTAGTTAAAGCTGTGAAGCTATATAATTTTAGTTCTGACACAGCAGAAGAGCTCCTCTGGTTAGCATATAAGTTATTGTCTCCTGCCTACCTCAAATCCCAAATGAGACTACAAGACGGGACGCTGCAGACATTAGACAAACAGCCTGGTAGGTTTCCACTTTAGGCAGCAAGTACTTTAACATGTTTATGAGCATAATTTTGCTAACCTTTATGAGTTCCAGATCACACTGCCCCCTCTCATAAGCAACGCAGGCCAGATGAGGGTCTCTCTTCTCACAATATTTGCCTACTACACGGCTGTCATAGTAAGAAAAACCGCTCTGGATTATTATTACTGTCAATGTAGATTTTGGCCAAGGCATTATGAGTGGCAGGTTCTTCACAACCTTCGTGAATTCTTGATTCAAGCCAAGGCAACAGCAATTTAAGCCTTTGAAGAAAACATTTTAGGTTTACAAGTCAGAAAAAACAGTTTTAAAGTTTAAGGCATACTTGACAGCTACCCATGAGTTCTCCCCAGCCCTCCCTTCAAGAAGGTCTGCTAGTCTCAAAAGTGGTTGGAGAGACAGACACTGATTTAACAGCTCTGAAATGAGTGGAAGTCAAGTCTGAAGTTTAAAGTCAAGCAAGGTAGCAGATAGCATTAAGGTTTTGTCATCCTGTCTTTCAAATCCCACTGTATTAGGCAGCTCTTCATGCTATTTGCTCATTTCAGTTAACAACCACCTAATTACACAAACTGCTGCGTACCTACAATGAAATTGCAAAGACAGTTTTATCCAGATTTAAGACCAAGTCAAACCAGTCACATCTCATCAATGGGCTGTACAAGAACTCAGTTCAATAGCCACATTATTCACCATGCAGTTTTGTCAGGCATTCCTATATAGTTCAAGTAATCGGAAGACTTACTAGAAAATCTAAGCTGTACAAAGGAGGCACACACTGCTTTACTATAGGATCAGATCAATCAGTATTGTATCATTCAATTTGGATATATGCCATATTCAAGAACTTAACATGGATTTTTTTTTCTCACCGGTTTCTTTTCTCCACTTCGGCTACCAGTTCATCTGTTGAAAATTGCCCTCTAACCACCATGATTAAGTTCTTAATGACATCTTCAGAACAATCCACATCCAGAAGCCCTCCAACCACAGCTGGTATACGGCTGGGATTCACCTAGAACAAGCCACCTAAATTCATTACCACCATTATTAACCTACCCCCAATTCTCCTTATTGAGGGAAGTTAAGTTTTTCAGTTTGCTATTTAAATATCTACTAGGCTATGCTTTAAACCAGAGCATTTTTTCATGGCACTAATCCATTCATATACAAATTCCAGGAAAGACTACACCCTGTAGGTTTGTTTGTTACAGACAAAAGCTCAGTGAAGAGCTTCTGTTCTAGAAGAATCAACATGAACCTACAACTGAGACACAGCAGATTTCCTTTAGTCAACTTCCTTTCTAAAGGAGGAACGGCCAAGATTTTAAAACTGGATTCTCCTTACCTTCTGTACATAGATCTCTATATACTTCTGCAGGTTATTGCGATATAAGTAGAGCACCAGGTCATGAACAAAATCAAATCGATCGCAGACAATGATCAGAGGAAGCTGGTCCGTGAGCTTTGCCTCCTGTATTGTGTGCAACAAAACTGAGTAAGCAACCATCATTTGTCATAAAGCATGTTCACAGAAGGCAAAATGTCTAACTAATTTCTCTTGCACTAGAAGTCCCACCATGTTCCAACTTCAGACTGTCAAGTGGACAATTGACTTCAAAACCAAGTCATCAGCTTTGAATACTACGTGGCCAGTCTCAGTACTGCATTTTGTATTTAGTCTGTTCAACTAATGTCACCTTAGGCCCTACATCATGAGCTTCAACATGATTCACTATTTACATATTAATTCAGAAGGCAGCTGCTGGGTCAGAAGTGTTAATAATGCAACATGAAGGGGCATTGGAATCCCATGTCACCAGTCAGAAAGCACAGAAACCCTTCAGAACATAGCACAGATCAACTTCAGTTTTAATAAGCTTTGCCTAAGCATCCTTGCTACGTATCCTGCATAATACTTCAGCACAGTATTTCTTTCTGCCAAACTGGATTCAACTTCCCTTCGCTGACAACATATTAATGGAGCACGGTGCAAGCTACATCACACAGGCTAGTCGTAAAGGAATCACGGGTCTAGCTCTGTTTTCTCCAGAGATAGCCCAGAAGGACCTATTATATGGCTGAAATAGGAGACTAATCACAGCAATGCCAACTAAACCTCAGTATGGCATCTCCCTTAATTTGAAGGCTGAAGTTCAGTAAAGCATGTAGAAGACAGCTCCTTTCATTGAACAGAGTATTTACCTTCAAAAAATTCTTCACTCGTTCTGGGTTATAGCAGTTACTCTCACGGCAGATCCTTTCTACTTCCTTTATCTGACCAGTCTTGCAAGCTGCCTGGATATACTTGAAGTGGACGTCTGGATCTTGACTGAAGTTTACAATGGAACCCAGGAAATAGAACAGTCCTAAAAGAAATGTTTTTATATAACCAGTAATGCAAGGGAAGCAAGTGCAGCCCGCTTTGAGCTTTAGCTTGTAGCTGCTAGCAGAACAGCTTTCATTCAATTGCAAAAAAAAATTAATTTTTTCTCCTTCTTTCATGTTTTCTCTTTCCCATCCTCACCAAAGAGTTGAAGTTAACAGAACAAAGCAACCTTTTGATGAGCTCAGCATTTTAAACACTGCAGATCTAGCTACATGACAAGTATCTTGCCAATATTAACATTAGTTTCAATTGGTCAGCACTTCCAGCAAAGCTGCTTGCTTCTCCTACTATACCTTCATAGCTTTTGAAAGACTCAAAAAGCTCCACAAGAGCCTGGGTGCCAAGTTGTTCATGGTATTTAGAAGCGACTTGCACACAGAGCTGTAGGTTTTGCCTGATATTGGCCGACAGCATGGCACGCAAGCACTCCACAGAGTCTTCAACGGACAGAGAACCAAAGAAGTTCACAAGCCACTGAAAAGAAAAAGAAGTTTTCCTCAGTAACTTATACGGGATACAGCTGGCTTCTAAGATATATGACAGCTAGCCAGAGTACCTGGCCCACCTAGTACAATGAAATTTTTCCATGTACTAAGAACAGAGTCTTGAAAGCAAGTGTACTCATCTCTGCAACAGCTAAAATGCAATTTAAAAATAAGATTTGATTTGCCCACGTGGGATTTAAACCATCAGTAGGGCAGAGTTAAGATTTATTGATTACCTCAACAAGTACTCTTTAATCACAGCCAGATGGACTGTTTCAGTATCTCCAAAACACCTTACAGCTGCTACAGGAAGTTAGCAGCTACAAAGGCATTAAAGAATGGCCACTTGGTCCCTGAACCTGGTGTTATTTCACTTGCCTTGTCTGTACAATGGACCTACCTCAGGATTCAAAAGGTGAGTGTGAACAACAGCACGTTTAATATCATAGAGATCCGTGTAGTGTTCCAAAGCTCGCTGGAGCAAGCCTGCCTTTTCACACAACTGCGCAATATGAGCACGATCATAGTGTGTAAACATTTGGTTTCCAAGGATGGCATCTGCAACCTAGGGAGAGTATATTTTAATATTCAGACTATTAGAGAATCACAGTAGGTCAGCCTAAAAGTTGTTTTAGTCGCAGTTACTCGTCAGCAGTCTTTGATGTTTCTAAACTAATTAGGGTTATTGCATCAGATATCAGACTCTAGCCTGATTTTCTGAATCAGAAGTTTACAAGCCCACAGCTATACTTTCTTCACTTTTTGGAGGAACTAGGTTCATAGTCTTACTTGTGGGGCATGAATCAAATTCATCTCCAGCAGACGTGTCTGAAGGTGGCCTTCTGCAGGACGGTTATTCTTCAGAGCATCCAGCAGGAAGGAAGTGCATTGCTGGATAAGACTGTTCTCCATGAACACATCCACAATCTGTTGAGATTGGTCAAATCAGAGAAGGTGGGGTCTGTACATAAATCCATGCATTTTTTTTTTTTGTACATAGTAGTGGCCTGGCAAAAACACCAGAAAGACAGCTCACCACAGCACTCCTTAGTGTGCTGTGTCCCCTTTGTTTCCAAAGGATTAATACCCTGATAATGTAGAGAGACAAGTTTTACACTTTCTGTAGAGTCCCTAGACTCTAGACTCTTTCTGTAGAGTCTCTAGAATGCAAG